CCCGGAGCTGCGGGATCTGGGGTTTATTTTAGTCCGGCGCCAGGTTTACGACAGACTCGGGGGGCGGAGCAACATCCCAAACGAGCAAACAATGGTCATTGACATCTTTTTCTCTCGTCCCCCCCTCCCCATAACGCAGGCAAAAAAAGGTAAGGGGGCAGTTGGGTGTTTCTTGAAAAGATTACCCCCCTTTGCTTTCTCCATCCTTGGCGCCTCTGTCCGCGCCAGTTACCCCAGCATCAGAAATAGAAGCCGGTGTTGAAGCTAGACGTGAAGGACTCCACACTTGTCCTCATCCACACACAAGTTTTCCTGAAGTGACTTAGTAGTGAAGTCCAGTATAACTGGGGAGGGGGCAACGTGCTGCTAAGTTTGGGAGGGGACGGTTTGCAGGACTTTTCTTTTCCCTCTAGCTACCAGCCCCTCACTAGCTCCATCATCTAAAGTGTTAAAAAAAAAAAAAAAGGCTCTTGGGTCCCACCACGAGAGCATAAAGAGAAGAGATACAATGACCATCCTCGGCCATTGTAGGGCTCCCTAATTTATGCATCTTTAGATCCTTAAGCATCATTTTGCGGGCAACCGAACGGACACTTTCCAAATTAGCTCAAAGTATCCAAGTCCAAAGAAGAGAGAAAACAGACACTGACAAATACAAAGATGCTAACTTGTAAGTATTGTGTTTTTACTCTGTGGGGATGTAGGTTGAGCAAGGGAAAAGAGGGCACTTTTTTTTTTTTTTAATGTTTCATGGTTAGTTTGCATCTGTAAAAAGTTTTTTTTTTTTTACTGTTTTTTCCCCTTTGTTTCCTCCCTCGCTTACCCACCACCCATAGGATTTATTCCATCACTACACTAATAAAAAAAAAGTCTCAAGTATTTCTAGTTGTTTAAGGAATATGAAAGTGTAGGGATCAGGTGTAAATTGTTTTTCTTGAAAAAATAGAAAACCACAGATAAGCTGATTAGAAAATTTTGTTTTGTCATCTTTTGGTTTGCAAATTTACCTGCATGGTAAAGAATAACTTAGACATTATGAATTTTCCACTAAATACTGATCAATACAAAGAATAAAACAAAGAAGTGTGCAAAACATATTGACTGAGTTTTGAAAACAGTCTTACAATTTCAAAAAACATACTGATAACAGGGAAATGAAGGTGTAATTTTAAGTTTTCCTAAAGATTGGGTTAGGAAAAAGAAAAGCAAGGAGAATGCTTTTGGAAGTAATATTTTGTTGTGTTTCTTAAAAAAGAAAGGAAGGATATGTAAAAAACTATCAAAGGTTAACCTGAAGGCAAGAACAATGTTACATCTTCCTTTTTATGGTTGCTTTTGGCCCTGAAGTTGCAGTCTCCTTCTTGTTTTGTCTTATTGTTTTAATCATTGTTCTGCTCATTTCAGTGTAGTTTGGTAAAGAATCTGTCCTATTTCTAGGGGAGAAAAAGCCACATGGTCACCTATGGGAAGAAAGTGCAACTAGATGAGTGTTTAGAGTAATATTTATAAGTGCATACTGAAGAACAAAATTCAGTGTTATATGAGTTATTTACAGACATCACTTATTGACTTAGGAAGATTAATGTTGTTAAAGTTTTTAATATGATGCTACTTTTACAGGTCTTCCCTGAACTTGAAACACCTGGGCTAGGTCTTCATCTTCACCTGTACAGGAATTACCTACTTACTTTTCCTTAATTAATAATACACAAAGAAACCTTTATGTATGTATTTAAGCAATTACTGGGATCCTTCTGAAAACTCGAGCTTGACTTTTACGTTTTTGTTTTAAATTTATATTGCTTGTATTTATTACCTTAAATAAAAAAATAATAGAAAGTTATTTTAAACTTTCATCAAAGACAAGGTAAGTAAAAATATTTGTCTTATAACATCTGTGAATGTAAAAGTCACTTGTGAGATATCATATTTTACTTTTCAAATTTAAACTTATTTCATAAATGAAATTGTTAGTATAAATTCCATGTTGATTAGTTGTCCAAATTAAAGAGGTATTTACAAATTTTCCAGATGAATATTGTTTAGTCTATTTTCAAGCAATATATTTCTTCTCATTTTGTTTATAGGACGTCAATATAGCAATTTATAAGTGGTGACACTACAAGTTGTTGCTTATTTTACTTTTTAACTGTATAGAGTCATATTGCATTAACATCTGGTAGGCTCTCATCTTTAAATAAAAAAGCTCTTTATCATATCTGAAGAATCTCTGCAGAGAGTCACTTTCTGACTGCTTAGGAATACAGTGAACCCAATAGTACTTCTTCATTGGAGGTGAACAGTTCTAGGGGAACAAAATCTATAATTTTCAATGTTTCTTTCTGTATCTATGGAAGTATCTGTATCTATTCTTTTTGTATCTATGGAAGTTACATATGTTCATCTGGAAACCCTATTTGGATTGTGCAGATGATTTTTAAATAGATGTAGTTTAGAGAATATATATGTATATTTAAATACAAAACAATTTGATATTCCATTGAAGCTTTTCACCAAATTTACTTCATCAGATTATTGTCTGCTGAAATTCTGAATGGGAATTTATACTTAGTTTTTAAATTACTATTGACTAAATTGGATTTTACAGGGAATATATTTCTCAGGAATGTTTTCCTGGTGTCTCACTCCTTCCCCTTTAAAAACAATGCTGGCACTCAGAAAGGAAAAAAAAAAAAGCCAATATTCTCAAAGGGAATACAGTGAAAAGAGAAGGTTCCTCTCCCCTCTCCCCTCCCAGTTCCCTTCTCACACTAAATGTTACCTGTTTCTTCTGGGATTGTCTACATATCTTGAAGCATACCATCACTTTATATACGAGGCATAACATGCTCTATATGGTTTGGTACCTTTCTTTTTTAATAGTTAGATTTTTGTGGTTTCACACTTCATACTTAACACTGAAAACTTGGTAAGACAGCCTGTGGCAGATAAAAAGATTCAGTGGTCTTTCTTGGCCTTTTGACTAAATGTGGTATTTATTTGAAAACTTCTGATGTATTAATTAACCTTAGGAACAAAAACATTAGGCAAAGAAATTCTGAAAAAAGCTCTCTTCCCAGAGTTTAGATTTGCTATTGACATCTCAGCAAGAGGGGCCTGGGAGGAGCTCAGAAACCTTCTGCTAGATCCTCTTTGAATTGAAGGTCCAGACCAGTACTGAGAGGGAAAATTAGTCTTTAGAGTAGCAGATAGATTGTCCTGAATTTCCTCATCAAGATGAACTGTGTTTGACAATATAACTCTGCTTGATACTCAAGAGTGCCTTTTAGAATGGAGACACTTACTGTATTGGGGGTTAGTTTAAAAAGTATTTGTGAAATAATTCGATTAGTGAAATTTTCACATTGTAGTTTTAAAATATCATCTTTGCAGTTAAGGAAAAAAGATTCATGTCAAAGACACTTGTATTTTATAGTAAAACTGGAGGTTAGAAAGAGAAAACAAAACTGCTAGGGAGCTGAAATATAAAGTTTATTTTAAAATTTTTGCTAATTTTATCAGTTTCTGAAATCAGGTCCCTCCCCCTTTTTTAGTCCACCTAAGTGCTTTTTTGTTTTCAGTGTTTACTTCAATTATTTCAAATTTATTTTGACAATTTTATGCTTGTGTTAATATGACTTCATTATTTCTCTCTGTATACAGTGATTTTTCACATTTTCTTTACAAAATGCAAAATCCTTGCAATTTAACTACTCTTGAAAATATTTTGACTCATTCTTTCCTAAGATTCAGATGTTTTATATTAAAAGTAGTTTTCTGTATTTTGATAAATGAATGTATTCTAAATCAGTACAATTATTAGTACAACCTAAGGATGAATAGTAGGGTTAAAGACATTACCCTTGTTCAAATCATTGTAGTAATTCAGTCCAATTAAATGATTCCTAAAAACAACAACAAAAAACCTAACCCAAACCAAACAAGAAATCACCTCTTTTACAGTAAAGCTATAATATTAGTTTTTATATTCATAGCAGAAAATAACATTAGGTTATAACAGGGAGCAAAAATATGAAAAATTGTTCAGTATATCACAATTCTCTCACCCTAGAATTGTAAGCTTGAATTTTGAATATTTTGTTTTGTATTTTAGAAGTTATTTTAGAGTGATACATGATATGGAAAAAAACAATAACACCTTTGAAATATAATTTTTATTTCTAAATAAAAAGTTTATTTATGTATCTTGCTTACATAAAGTTTAATTTTTTTTAAATTAAGGTATTTCCATTGAACAATATCTTTGACATCTTTTACATATTTTAGAATGTCACTAAATACTTTTTTATAAGAAAAAAGAATCCTTTTAAGCAAAATCATGTTTTTATGTACTATTTTGTGTGAGGAGCTTATTATTTAAATATTCACCCTATTACCACACACTGATTAGAATTACTATGTAGAACTTTTTAAAAATATACTTTTATAATGTTTTTCTTATATGCTATCAATTTTTGATGAGAGGTTCAATGATATTAGATTTTCAATCTAAAAGGTTCAATGATTTTAATGTAAAGTCTTTTTCTCTATTATGTCTTATTAAAGATATATTACTTTACATTTATGAATTAAATTATAGTTGTCAAGGAAAGTATCAACTTTTATATGTGAATTTTTTATGAAGTAATCAAATTATTTGTTGCCATCACTTTCTTGAAGGAGAACTCCAATTTTTGATACCTTGGCAAATTTATTAGTAGGTTATTGCATTTGTTAATGAAGTTTCAACATGTACATTTTAGAAGACATAGAACAATATTATTAGAGAATAATTTGTCCAATTTTGTCCTTTTTATGTACTGCTAATGTTGAGGTGATATTTAACATGTGTAGACAGTTATATATATATATATATATATATATATATATATATATAACTGTGTATACACACACACACATATGTAGATATAGATATCAGGCTGAATTCTAGGTTGAGAAAATTGTGCTCAAAAGAAAGCAATAAGCTAGTGTTTACCTCATAAATCAGTAGCAGTTTTAATAGATTTTAAGCAGTTTAATTACTGGTTCAATAATTTGCATTACAAAGCTTAACATGAAACAATTTAATTGTTTATTCAGTCTATGAGTGTTACAAGAATCTGATTTATAAAAGTTGCTTCGTTAGAGTTCCTAAAAAATGATATATATACATATATGTGTGTGTGTGTGTGTGTGTGAGAGAAAGAGAGAGAGAGAGAGAGAGAGAGAGAAAATGAATATGGATGTGTATGTGTGAAGGGGAGTGGTACTGTGGATGGAACCCTGGGCTTTGGGTATGCTAGGCAAATGGCCTACCTCTGAGTTTTACCAGCACAAAATAAGAATCTTAACACCATATCTGTCAGGTGGACTTGAAAATTTTTGCCCTAAAATATCCACTTTGTGAAGTAATTTAGTAAAGGGTCTTGACTTTTAAGCAAATCTAGTGTTTATTGTAAAGTTTTTGCAGATGAAATGCTAGATATGAAAGACAATTTGATCTTGTCACAGTATAGAGAATTATATGTAGTAATACTGAAAATCTGATTTGAACTGGTTTTTCCTTTTAGGGGTAACATTGGAAATTTCACATAAGTGCCATAAAGCACAAGCCATTGGAATGTTCAGCCCCAAAATACCATGCCAGAGAAATGACAATTGCTGGAGAAA